CAGCGGCGGGTGGCCACTGGAGTGACGGGCGGGAACGACCAGCAGGTGTCCAGTAGGAGTAGTGGCAGGCGATGCAAGCAGACCACAGGAGCAGCACAAAGGTGGCATGGCTTCAGGCTCAATGAGTGGAATCATCAAGGTGATGTGTCAGTGTCCGCACTGACTGGACAGAGCTGGAAGTGGAGCATTTGAAGTGGGATACAGAGCAAGTTTGGGTAAAGGAATGGAACCCTTACATTGTTGGAGTAGTGAGCCTGAGGGGCAAAAGACATTGCTCAATCCATTTGAGCTGGGACAGTTACTCGTGGGGGAGGCGGGGTTAGGAACTATGTTTGTGGTATTTTTCCAAGCTAATGCCATGTAACGTCTCTCCCTCTTTCATTAAAAGTTTCTTTTCTACACTCAGACTCTGCTTGCAAGTGGGGGAGCATTGCCTCTCAGAGGCGCCCAGGGATGTGTGAATTTCCCAGGCTACGGGGTGGGGGCTCAAGGTGAGAAGGATGAAAAGGGACCCCTCAATATTGAACCTGACCCTGGCTGCTGCTGGCACTACCGGGAAGAAGGGTTACATCTGAATAAAAGGCAAATAAAACCAAAGTTCCAGAATAGTAAGTACCTACTTCTTTGGAGGAAATTAAGTAGAGTTCAGTTCACAAACTGCTCTAGAATGTCCTATTTGTGATATTAAGGTGATATTTTCTAAGCATTCAGTCCTGGCATATGGACTGATGGAAGGTTTGCCGTTGAACAGACCAGGGCTAAGAGCTTTTGGAAGCCAATGTTATCTTCTTGTTAACTTTGCAAACCTGCTGGAAAAATGGGGAAGCAGAGCTGTGAAAAATGTCAAAGTTCTTTGCATTTTGAAGGATTGAAATGGATTAATTTTTCATGAATTTTATCTTACTGAAAATGGGTTTCAGTAAATTAATTTCTTTTATTTGTTGCAGAAAATCATGCAAATATTGGAAAACAATTCTTCATGATAACTTTTGATTTTTGGAAGAGGTCTATCATCTTTTCTAATCTGTGGATTTCAAACATGGATGAAGAATCTAGGAGTATGTCTACACTTGCAGCCTAATTCGAAATAGGGCTGCAAATGTAAGCATTTGAAATTACAAATCAAGCCCGGGATCTAAATATCCCGTGCTTGATTTGCATGTTCCCGTCCGGGCGCCATTTTTTTTTTTTTTTTTTTTTGAAATTGACAAGCCCGGAATAACTGCCTGCGTCAACACGTGGCAGTGAAACGGGCGTTGAAAATAAAGCCCTAGTTTGAAATACCTGTTATTCCTCCTGCAATGAGGTTTAACAGGTAGTTCGAACTAGGACTTTATTTCGAACACCCGTTTCACAGCAGGCAGTTATTCCGGGCTTGTCAATTTCAAAAATGGCACCCGGCCGGGAACATGCAAATCAAGCATGGGATAGTTAGATCCTGGGCTTGATTTGCAATTTCAAATGCCTACATTTGCAGCCCTATTTCGAATTAGGCTGCAAGTGTAGACATACCCTAGCAGCGTTTGAGGATTTAGCTCTTGAACACCTCTTTGACATTGCAATGATAATGAGTTTTCAGACCTTATGTACAGAGGTTACAGTTAAAGCATTAACTAACAGGCATTTTGAGCCAGTGTACTGTTTCCCTTCACTTAGAACAGAAAACTAACTACTATCATTGACATATTATAAAGTGGCAACTGTTGGTAAATGTTGGCTTCTAACAACTATATATTAGCTACAATTTTCAAGACACATTTACCACAAAATACTGCATGCTGCATAGGGAACGTGGAGCCCAAATGGTCGCTTGCACCACTTGCTCCCGCGGCAGCCTGGCTGAGCAGCGCAGAAGTCAGCCGAGCACCACGGCAGGAGGCGAAGGGGGGCAGGGCGGTGATGTTCAGTAAATGTTGGCTTCTAACAACTATATATTAGCTACAATTTTCAAGACACATTTACCACAAAATACTGCATGCTGCATAGGGAACGTGGAGCCCAAATGGTCGCTTGCACCACTTGCTCCCGCGGCAGCCTGGCTGAGCAGCGCAGAAGTCAGCCGAGCACCACGGCAGGAGGCGAAGGGGGGCAGGGCGGTGATGTTCACAGCCAGGGTGTGGGGCCTGGAGCTGCTGTCATGCCGCACATCACCACCCCGCCCCTCTTCCCTTCCTGCCATGGCACTCAGCTGACTTCTGTATCGCTCACCAGGCAG